GCGGCTCACTACAAGGAGCAAGGACGCTACTACCAGGAGCAAGGACGCTACTAGGGGCTCCTGGCCTTACTACTAGGAGCAAGAAGCCACCACCGACACCACCCCGATGCACCGCACACCGACGCGCCAGCACCGACGCTCCACAGCGAGGTCCAGCGACGGCAGCGAGGCGCGGAACCGGGAGGGGATTCGAACGTGTGCAGCAAGAACCTGCACTGCTTGAGAATTCTTCTGATGTCTCTTGCTTTCTCATAGCACCATCCTTGAACAATTGCTCCAGCAACATGTATGGGATGTCCAGCTTGGGCCTCATAGAGGTAAGCGTCGTCCAAGTGAAGCCGACATTCCAATTGGGTGAGCCACTGGTCCTGACCCGGCGACTCGGAAGACACCGACAAGTGCGATGCCCACTGTAAGCTGGATGGCCATGCCATGAATAGAAAGGACTACCAAAACATGGTCAACCTACCCAGCCAAAAACGGGCGACTTCTGGTTTGACCCCAAAAGCCATATAATCATTTGTATATGTCAGTATGATGTATGTCTGTGGTACATACTGACACCGGAAGAGTCGTCCGTCCCGACTCTTGGCACGGGAACTGTGTCCCACACGAGCTGGGAGAGCTAAGCATGGAAGTGGAACACCAGCGGTTTGGTATTCGGAAAATGGTCAATCTTTTTTGGGGAAATGGTGCTATCCACTGAACAAAATATTCCAGGATGTGTGATTATCGTGGTATGCTGTAGATATTATCATATCTTATACAATCAATATGCAAATCATGTGGATCATATGGGTGTATCATACTGTGTATGTATAATGTTGTATAATATATATATATATGTTATACCTCTCAAACCGATGGAACTTGGGACGAACAAAAAAGTATGCGTATCTGCCCTTGCTTGTGTGCCACGTGTGCAAAACAACAGATTTCAACCAATCCTGCTATTGCATGATGTTGCCACTTTTAGCCGCATGTAAAACACAACTTTGCCATCAAGCAATTGACCCCATGTTTCACCAAACTCCCACTCATCCATCCCTTACAGCCACTTCCTCTCTGGTTCTCGCCTCACATCTTCGATTGCCCAGAGCTCCATTCCCCCGGCACTGGCGAGTGAACTAAGCCGAGCAACTAAGCGCCGCATGAACTTCTCATGGCTTTCTTGCAAGGCATCCGAGACCAAGCGATGCACCTGCAGAACGACAGCAGGACGTCCTCGATTAAAAAAGATCATCTGGGGAACGTTCAGCCGAGATGCGAGGAGCATACAGACGCCGAAATAAATAGAAAAGGGAAATCCCGTTTCTATCTACTGTAGTTGGGGACCACCAGGACCACCTGTTGTTTAATGACATGGAGTTCCCTCATGAATCACACGGCCGGGCCACTGAACATCCATGTCCATGCCAACTGTTGACAACGATTATGTGAACCAACAAACAAAAGGCAACCTAACGACCTAATATGATGGACCATGCATCTTGCCATCCTTCTCAAGAAAAAACCAGCTGCCAAGGCAAGGCATGGGTGTGATACCTCTGATGGACCATGACCGAACTCGGGCCGAACCCTTCAGACCAGATTGCTTTGATATCCTTTGATGACAGTAACACAGGGAAGTACAAAGACTAATGAACACATATTATCAGTTCTTATTTATATACTTTGTGTGATTGCTTCGGTCTCCTACTTGTGTCGCCACATTGTCTTATCATGTGTTATCTAGACTCTAAACCTTTGTGATCTTCCAGCAGTTCCGGAACTCAGACTTGTTCTAACAAAAGCTCCCCTCTAGGCCCACAAGAATTTTCCATGAAGCTTTCCATTACAGTTTAACCATTTTGCAGTTCCAACCCTTGGTGTTCAAAGCCATAAAACCGCCGCTGGATGAAGGCCCGGCCTCTCCCGACTCGGACACTGTGGGGTTGGCCGCGCAAGTGTAGGAGTACATAGAGCTGGACAAACGCGCGCAAGGGTGTCTGAAGCAGGGGAACAAAACACGCTTTCGCCTCTTTTCGCCGAAGCGGCAAAGAAACATGCTCGACCAGGATTGGAGGATTTGGTGGGATGCTTCCCGAGAACGACTGCAGCCAGCACCACATGCCCATGATGCGGTGAATGGTACCGGTCGAGTACAGTACAGTAAGTCATCCATCATTATTGTTTCACCAGGCTGCATTCAGCATGCGTGTGCTGATCTTTGCTGTTCGCATGTTTGACCAAGCTGGGCGGCAGAATGTAACGACAACCACGTTCAGTCAGTGGGTGAAGCTGAAGAAATGCGTTTTCCGTCAGCACCAAACAGCATGCCCACTGCAAACCGACATTCTCAGGTTTTAAAGGGGTCCGGACACAGGCTTGGTACATCAAATCAAATCTGAGAAAGCCCGGCTTGGCGATCTTGCTATGAAGTGAAAGAAGTGAACAAATATCGTGTGCAAAATACACCGAATGTTATTCGATGCCATAACTGTTGCTCATAACTTAAATCAACCTTGTCTTTGACAGTCATAAGTTATAAGTTAAAATTGAATTAAATATATAGTACAACTACTCACAACTTATGGTCCACAAGTAAGCCAACGCTGCCCCCCAAAGCAGACAGATTCTGGTCACTGCGTCTGATAGATAGATCGAAGCAAAGGGAACCCACCGACAGCTGCACGGGTTGCAGTGGTCAAAGACAAATTGTGGGGACATCGGGACATCGGGACCTATGTTTGTAATGCTCCCCAAATCTCTCCCACACCCGGATTTGTCTGAAACTGAAAGATCAAATTGTAAAACGCCCCGGATGGGTCATTCAACCAGTCTTTCTATGGGGATGGGTCATTCAACCTGGAGCGGTCCATGTAGCGAAGGACCGGTTCACCGTCGGTGAAGTCTCCGAAAATGCGATGGGTTTTGCATGGGTTGGTCGCATGTCGTTTGCGCATGTCGTAACACCAGGATGTTTGGTTTCCTAAATACAACACCCACATTGGGACCCACAAGTCAAATCATCCGTTTCCGTTTCCCCCTCCACCATGTTCCACCGAGATCTCGTGGCTGAAAACGACGAGGTGGTGGTGGACTGGTCTGATCGACCGGTGAGGCGAAGCGACGGTGGACCAAAGCCAAAGCCAAACACCACAGAATATGTGCATATCTTTAATTACTTTGTGTGTTTCGCCCGTCCCCCTGGCCCTACTACGTAATTAAGTAGGTGCCTACTTGATTAAAGGACAAACTTGTTCGCTCTCACGCTGGGGAGCTTTCTTGAAGAAGCGCTCACACTATTCATTTGGTTCCTAGGTTTTATGGAAAACTATGGAAAACTCCAATTATGGTTAAAAACAACAAACACATACAAACACATACTTGCTTGCTCTCCAAGTTGAGCTGTTGGTTACTAAGCACATTCATCATACATGGAGTGCCTATCTCCAACGTGACCGCTCACTCTCAACCCGACGCCGAAAGCCACGACTCTGTACAAGCTTCCACATGCCCACCGGGTCGGCGGGTCGCTGATGGTCGCGATCCTACAAGCTCCAGTTTATGGAGCATGATGGGAACAACTAAACACACCAAAAAACACATTTGGCTCTTCTTGACTTGATTTTCTGTATTTTCTTTAAAAGTAAACACACATTGTGCTTGCTGCTTGATATTGCTTTTGTTCAAAAGAAACATTGCGTTTTGTTTTGTTTGATTGTCTGTGTTTGCTTTTAAGAGCACCGATCTGTCTGTCCACCTTTTGATGGACGCCCGGACCACAGCAGACCCCAGCCCGCCCAAAAACCAGGCGGGCCACTTTGGACCGTTTTGGTGGCGCATCGTCCACGGTGAAACAAATGACTTACGGTATATACAATGTGAGGCAACCCAAGGTCCAAACAGTCAGAAGTATGTCCATGACCATGACCAAAGGACATGGAAACAAACATATTATATATAACAATATAGTACAGTATACAGAAAATACATAAAACAGAACATCATGTGCTGTAACTTCAAAACATTGACCATGCAGAAAGTCATCCAAAGCAGGCATTGGCAGGCCAAGGACAGCCTTGAAACTTTTCCACAGATTATAGCTCATTCAACCGTGTCATTGACAACAAGTTCAACGCGTTCGCATTCGCATATTCCACATTGTTCCTCCATCCAGTCAAACTTATTCAACACTGTGTCACCACCCAAGATTGGACTAAAGATCACCAACATGTCCGTTCGGATGTCAATCCTGGTCTTCTTATGTTTGAACTCCTACCTTCACCGGTCATCATCAAACTGGTCACCTTCTGATGTCAGTGGTTTGAAAAATATGCTCGACCCGATGCAACAGGTTTTAATCAACGGTCTTAGCATGAGCACGGGCACCCGGTGTTGAAAGGTCCATGTAACATAGAAGGAGCCATATCTTCCAAATCCTGGCATCACAATAATAGAAGAGAGGAGGCTTCTCCTGGACCCCAACATCAACGGTTTCGGTTTCTGGGAGATTCTGGGAGAGGGTTTTCACGCGGGTTCACCGGGCCCTGAGGCTCCGATCGGACCTGAGGCTCCTTGGATCCCCTCGAGATCAGGCTTGAGATTGCTAGACTGACACAAAAGACTTGATCGAACAGTTACCGTGCCAAGCAATTACGGTAACACCACGGTGACTGACACCCTCGTGCTTTCAATGCTTCGGTGTCACGAATCTTTGCATCAAAAAGACTTGATCGAAAAGAAGGTGTCGCTCATTGCCGTAAACACGTCTCTCGGTCCTCTAAAGACCGGACCTTCACAAGGATTAGGTAGCCAGCCATGTGACAGGGCATGGGCAATCCGAATGCCAGCGAAAACCATGTGCTTGGAAGTTTAAGTAAGGAAATCAACATGTGCATGTAAGCGGTCTATTGAATTTGTTATTTAGCTGTGGGTCAACACCACTATACCTTGGTTGACCCTATCTGGGAGGTCGTTCGCTACAGACTCTGGCTCCAGGAGTTGACCCACAGCCATTGTTGTTGGGGCCCAAACCCATCCAAATCCCAGTTTTGGACGACCATTCTCTCTGGCTGTTCTGGACGCAAAATGGGTGGCAGAATAGTGATCACCATTGAGCAAACCAATGAAAAACATTTAAACAACCCATGATGTCTATAGTGAAATTGTCAAATCATATCAAATCATCATATCATCCAAAATCTCAAGCCCCTGTCTTGCCATGGTGCCCTGGGACTCACATCGTCCTCACAAGCAGCGTAAGCACAAGTGCGGAGGCGGCTGACTGTCGATGTGCACGATCGGCTGCTCAGCCTCGCGCCGTCGAGTCGCCATTGAACTTTTGCCAAATCCCCGGCCGATATATGTGTGTCAATACATTATCGCAAAACAGCAAAAAAAGACCGACAAGCCGAGGTTTGTGTTTAAACCCCTCAAGGGTGTCTGCTCGCAACGCTGCTGTCGCCTGGCTCGATGCTTCAAAGCCTGCATTTGAAGAGGCAACCCTGGCAACGTGGATGAGGCACTGACAAAGGTTTCCATTCTTGCCCTTGATAGAGTCCGATGCTTGCACTCAAAAAAGACTGTAACAATAAAATTGAACGTGACATATTGTATATATATACCTTGAGTCTCCAAATATGTTTTTCTGTGTTTCTGTTTTGGGTCTAATATTTGTGCGTGTTTGATCGAAAAACGCGTTTTCAGAGATGAGGACTCCAGAAAAGGTACAGAGTGAATCTTCATCCGGTGCGGACGCTTAAAGGCGTCTTTTGGACGCAAAAAGACGCGTTTTGGACGCCGAAAACCGGTCTCAGGACACTGTCTGAGGAGGATCTGACAGGGCACAAACAAAAAAGGAACATTTCGTGACATATGCAAAAAAGAGTGCTGTCTTTCAAAAACCTCTTTTTCTTGGAATGGCACATTTAAAAGGGTCATTGGAGACTCAAGGTATATTATATAATATACATTCCTGGAGCCTCCAGAACCTACAAAATTGTAGGGTGCGGATTCAAAACACGATTATGGAGACCTCTGTGCTTGAAAACTCGGTTTTGGAGTCGAAAACACGGTTTTGGACGATCCTCAGCCGTCATCAAGCTTGAAGATGGATCTAACAAGAACACTGGTAAAAGAAGGTCCAGAGGACTACAACCTGATGCACTTAGAAGTGAGCTGATGAAACCGGCGTGTTCTTGGTTGGAACCCACCACTTTAGTGCATGGCATCCCCATCTCCATCAGCACGCATGGCGAATGGTGGCTCGTTTTCGCACGGGGCCCCGGTGATACGCGTCATCAGCGCTCATCTCCATGGCCTGCAAGCACTGAAGCTCAACACTTTCCATTTGGCAGCTGTTTTGGGATCAAAGGTCGATCATAGCATGGCCAAGAGTTCGGGTGAGATGGGGCAGGTCGAAAGACCCGAGTTTGATGGTTTGGTGGACGATTGGGACTCCACCGCTTCGATTCGAAATGACCTTCGTGATGGAGGAAAACTGGTCGTTGTGGGTGATGTGGACATCAAAGCCACAGTGGGGGCAAAAGCCCTTTTGGTACCCGTCTTGAATCGCATGGCAGTGGTTCCAGATACCAAGTTGCCTGACATCGAGAAACTCAGGGCTTGCGTCCATGATATCTATATGCGGAACAAACAGTATCCGACCAACCTCGACATCCAATCAGAGGCATGGCAGATCCGGAAGCTTCTCGGGTTCATCAAGATGAAGATCCGAAGGGGTGAAGTGACAACAGAAGCTCTTCTGCAATAGTTGTAGGCTAGTGTGTTTGGTCATGTTTCCCTTATATTGGCCAAAGGGGGGGGCCAACCAAAGTGGAAAATTGCTAAATGTTTTGTGTCAAATTGTCATGCAGCATGTTTTTGCACCCTGGCCCAGGACCCTGAATTTCAAGAGATGGTGCTTTTGTTGGCTCCTTATTTACAGGACGGGTTGCCAAGTCTCAATAACATCCCATGCATTAAGATTTGAGAGGTTGTTTGGCACCCAATTCCAAATAGGATACGGCGACCACAGTGAA